CTGCATCATAGCTATGTACAAAGAGGGAGCTCAAAGGTATTTACCTATATTTTCCTAATAAAACTGAACTGAACCTTTCCCCTATAAATGCTGCTTGTTTGCGTTGACGATTTTATTTCTGTAAATATTCCCACCCAACACGCCGATCTCGCCCATAAGCAAATATTGACATAGTCCGCAGTAGCGAGTCGACGGTCAAACCACGCAATTATTGATTTTCTACACGTTCAAAATTTAGTTGTTTTGTGCACACGCCAGAACTAGCCATCTCATTTGTTGCTGTTTTCCCATCTCTGACGATGGACTCCTGCAGGAGCCCGAGAGCTCAGACCAATAAAATAACAATTCTGGTGTTCGATAAAACTTCTTCCTCTCGAAATGCCTCAAACTCTCTCTCTCAGGCACGACTGGACGCAGTCAACTCCAGCCCTGGCTTCGTCAGTGACCACTGCACAACAACTGGGAATTCTGTGCAGTAATAAAGCTCTTCTTCTGGTGACTCCGGTCTTTTCCAACGGCCCGAAAACTGGCCTGAGGATTGTAGTACAAGCTAAGCCAAAAAACACTGGGCACCCGACGGAAATGAATGCGACACAGGTAATACAAGGTAAATTCACTCAAGAGTGAAGTGGGCTGCTTCACTGAAAGTACAGTTCGACTTACAGGAGTCTGGTATCCAAGCGGCATATGTTGGATTGCGAATTCCAGATCAGCTAGCCGGGCGGCCTCATATACCTCCTCATCGGAGGCATGCAGGTTGCCGTATTTTAGATTGTAAAATATGGTGTTGTGGAAGAGCACAGTGTCCTGAAGAGTGGAAGCGAGCAGAGGAAAACCAAAACAGGGTCAAAGAAAACAGAATCTCTTAAAAATGAAACAACTGAAACAAGTAATTAATCAGGTATTATGACAGGCACGTCCTGCCCGTAAGTGAGACGGTACGAAAATCAGTTTCGATTGTGCCCACCGGGTAGGCCCCACAGCAAAGCAACGGTGCACACACGGTGATTTGCGCATTAATTAGTTTCAAGTGATA